TAAAAATATACAGAAATTCTATCCATAAGCCCATCAATAATAGGTAACATATATAAATGACTCAGCACATGCTTTACCAAAATTTTAAATCCTACATTTGAAAAATATAACATGGTATAACACAGCATATAATGCACTTCGGCTTATCACATTGCATGTTATAACATACAGTATATAACTTTCTATTTTATCGTAGATGAAACTAACTCATTCTTTTTAATGACTGCATTGTACTCTGTTACTTAGAGTTGCCCTCTCTGCAACATTTTGAGTTTACTACTTTTAAAAACAAGGATGGAATAAACATTTGTATACATATCTTTTTGGTTTTATGTTTCTAAATGTTATTAGAGTTAGAAAGACCTGCTATGTAGGTGCATTATATAATTTGATAGATATAAGTCAGTTGTTCACCAGAATTTTGATACTTTAAATTTCTACTGATAGTTTAAAAGTAAATGACTGTTTTTTTCTAAAGTTGTCCAACTGGGTATGACTCTTTGTGGTCTTTCTAATTGGATGAATAAAATATGATATCTCATTGTTATATTAAAAAAAAAAAAGAGTACACTTATCACGATGAGCACTGAGTAATGTACAGAACTGTTGAATCACTATATTGTACATCTGAAACTAAGATAACACTAAATGTTAACTATATGGAATTAAAGTCTTTTGGAGTAAAAGAACCATTAATAAAAAGTGAAGTTTCAACACTGGACCTAAAGCATGAGAAAATAATAATGATAATAGTAATGGCTAAGGTTTGTTGAGATTTCTATATAATGGGCACCAAGTGATGAACTTTACATGATTATTTACTAATTTTTATAGCAATTTTTTCAACTAGGTAATAGTCTTATACTCATTGCACACACACAAAAGCTAAAGCTTAAACATTTATGCATTTAACATTTACTGAGTGCCTACCATATGACAAGCACTATGCTAAGAAGGTACTGGCACATTACAGTCTATGCTTATAGACTGTTTTCAAATTAGGTCCTGCAAATTGTCAAAGTGTATTTCCTCTGTCACAAATAGTTATTTACTTAGACTCTTGAAGTTTGGAAATAACCACACAACATTTTTATTAGGGCCGCCTGGGTGGCTCAGTCGGTTAAGCATCTGCCTTCGGCTCAGGTCATGATCTCAGCGTCCTGGGATTGAGCCCTGCATGGGGCTTCCTGCTCAGCGGGGAGTCTGCTTCTCCCTCTCCCTCTGCCCCTCCTTGTGCACGCATGCTCTCTCTCTGTCTCAAATAAATAAATCTAAAAATTAAAAAAAAATTTAAAAAGCACAATTTTTTAAAGTTAAAGGTGGTCTTGCAAAATTGAAAGTGATATTAATGCCCAGGTTAGAATTCCGTTTTTCAAAGGCCAGCTTATAGGCTGCAAGGTAATCACCTGGGCACTTGATAAATATGCAGATTCCAGGGCCCTCCCAGTGGTGGAGTTTTGCAGCATTGTGGTGGGACTTGAGTTCTGTTTTTTTAGAAATTGCCTAGGTGACTCTGCTTCCCAGCTTTGTTCTGCCATCCCAAATTAAAGTATTTTCAAACAGACTTTGTATTTTACATATATGCAATACATTATATATCCACTAGAGGGAGCAATGATTCAGGATTAACATCTTCACATTTAAAAACATTTCTTCATCAGTTCCTAAGGCTGCCCAAGAGGGAGAATCGTTTTATTTGATGAGGCAGCATAAAAGGTATTTGTTAAGCTGTTGAAAATGGGTTTTAGAAGCAGTAATGAAAAAGAGGTGCCATGAAGTCTTAATTTTTAAATTTTTATTTATTTGAGAGAGAGAAAGAGAGTGCGCATACACACGGGGGGAGGGGCAGAGGGAAAGGGAAGATAGAATCCCAAGCAGACTCTACACTGAGCTCACAGTCTGGGGAGGGGGGTGGGATGCCGATCCCTCGACTGGGAGATCACTACCTGAGCCGAAACCAAGAGTACCACGCTCAAATAACTGTGCCACCGAGGCACCCCCTCGAATTCTTTAGAATAACAATTTCTGTGTGGCTTATATTAAAATCATGAGTATTTAGCAGCAGTCGTGACCACATTTTCCTTTGCCATCTAGGAAGAAAATAATTCACTTCCCCTTTACAAAACGCAAGTTATTAGACACAAGTTAGTAACTTGATCGTCATTCAAAATCAATTTCTTTTTTATTGTTATGTTAATCACCATACATTACATCACTAGTTTTTGATGTAGTGTTCCATGATTCATTGTTTGCGTATAAC